GCGCATGCACCCTATAGCTGAAAAAAAAAAATTCTACTAAATCAAAATGCAATGATCAAATCTTAACTTCACTCAACATTTGTATGATGCTATTATTTAATATACAGTTCAAATTCAAATTTGTCCATCTGTCTTAATAATGTCTTAATGTGTTTTGCAGATATTATTTGATAAGGTCGATACTGCATTATGAAGGCTCATTGCAATTTGGCACTTACTTTCAACTCTGGTCTCTGACCACTATCCAAGTTCTAAATCCTCCAAATCTCTATACTTGTCACATGTTGTTCCCTCTGCCTTGTCTTAAGGAAATAACTTTCACAACTGTTTAAATTGTGTTCTCATGCTAGCACAGAAATCTTGGACTTTATCAAGAATTTGGGACAACATTTTTGTCCTTTTTCATATATGTGCAAGCTCTGTCTATGGTATTCATCCTATTTTATTTTGTCTGTCATTTCTCCCACTAGACTATTAACCATATAAATTTATAAGGTCTTGCTTATCTTCACATGCCCTGTATCTTGCCTCATAGGATATAATGGATTCTCAATTAATGCCTTATTGAGTGAATAAATAACACGGGAGGAATGTTTTGTTCAAATGAATGCTTGATAAATATTTGCTATATTACAAATGAGATCAAGAGCCTAAAGCTTTGATTAACTTTGCTATTGTCATTGAAAATGAATCTGAAGTCACATTTAGGGTTGCAATTCCTCAGATAGGAGTATCATGATGAAGAGACTCACCAAACTCAGTTGGTACATTTATTAAAAAATACAGATAGCAAATCAGTCTATCCTAAGAAAAGGACCTAATGAATCATATTTCTGAAAAAGGAAGAGTTATAATTCTTAGGAATAATACAGTAGAAGATGATTACATGTTAATAAAGTCTCACCTTTCCAACTAATGCAGGAATATTCATTGAGTTAGTTGCAAATCCCATCCCAAAGACCATAGCTGCTTCTACATTCAGGAACTTAGCCACAAGGTCCTCCAGCTCTTTATGTTTATCCAAGGTACCTGCATATGAAATTTATACGAGTGAGCCTTCTCTTTCAACAAGTTTGAGACTGAACAGTTAAATTCTCATACACATTCATTATTTAAAGACTTATACAAGAATGTTCATAGCAGAAATATTTGTCACAGTTTCTATCTATTGGAGAAACAACCCAAATGTTCATTTACTATAGAATGGATAAATAAACTGGGCTATTTATATAGTGGGGTATTTATATGATGGAATTTAATGCTACAATGAGAAACAAAGAACTGCTGATTCACGCAATGAGGTGGATAATCTCACAAAAATTGTTGAGGGAAAGAAGTTAGTTGTTTAAAAACATACAAGCTGTATAAGTCCATTTATATAAATTATACAACCAAATAAAGCAAATATAATATTAGAAGTCAAGATAGTGGTTTTATTTTTACTAGGAATATACAGAGGGTTTTGAGATTCTCTGATTCTTTTTTGCTTTAGGGTGTGTGAACTTACTGGAGAGAGAGAGAGAAACAGTAAAAGGGAAAGTGAGAAATCATCCCCTAGAGACAATGACAGGTAAGGTGATGGCCATGCCACAATCCCTTCTTTTCCATCTCTTCTCAGAATCTTGGGTATGCATACACATGTGCTCAGCATGAGTTTCAAGCTGCTGGGTCTGGGACTCAAACTGTGATCAGTCATGTGGGAATCCAGTGATGTAACCACTCTGCCATATGCTGGCCCCTTCTCTGAATGTTTGGGTGCTGGTTATTTAGGTATGTTTGCTTTGTGAAAATCCTTTGAGCTGTATGCTTAAGATTGATATACTTTTCTATGTATGTTTTATAATACAATAAAATTTACAAAAATACCATGATTCCTCTCATTGTCCACCCTATAGTCTATGAGTAATTAATTAAATCATAACCTGCTCAGAGGTTCCCCACACTTAAATGTAAATAGATCTCTCTCCATATAGTCTAGTAAAACTAGTTACTTTTTTTTTTTTTTTTTTTAGAGGTATTTTTCTGATAGGGTGCGTGTGCTCACTATAGACTGACAGAAAGCGAGAAATCACCCCCCAGGAAGGATGATGCAGTCTCTTCTCCATTCTCCTCTTGAGATTTGGGGCACTCACGCACACGTGCCTGGTGCAAGTTTCAAGCCTCCGGGTCCAGGACTTGAACTGTGGTTGACCACGTGGGAGCTCAGCGATGTAACCGTTATACCACCTAGTGTTCCTAAAATTAGTTATAATTTATTGAATCTATTAGATAGCTAACTCTGCTATTTAGCTTATCTCATTTAAAATAAGAGATAAGATAGGAGCCCACTAATGTGAGTACCATTTGTTTTACAGATAAGAAAAATGAAGCTTAAAGAAGTCTCAGATAAAAAGCAACAATTTAGCCTAATTCTGAAGTTCTTATTTTTATCTCTCTAGACCTTTTCTATACTTCTTTCCCAATTCTTCCTTTTTTTTTTTTTTGAGAGGTTTTTGCTATAGGGTGTGTGCACTTACCAGAAAGACAGAGACAGAAAGCGAGAAATCACCCCCCCAGGAAGGATGACCACGCTGCAATCCTTTCTCCTTCTTTCTCCTCGTTGGATCTTAGGCACGCATACAAGCACATGTGCCCGGCGTGAGTTTAAGCTACCAGGTCTGGGTCTCAAACCATGGTTGACTACATGTGAGTCAGCGACATAACCATTATGCCAACTGCTAGTCCCCTTAATTCTTTCTTAAACAAGGCCCTTGAGGCCTTGCTGACAGCAGATGTTGATACATACTTCCCTTATTCTCTGTTTGTTATCACTTGAATTTCTAAATCTGCACTGTCAAGTATAGTAGCCATTAGCCACAAATGCATTGAAAGATTGAATTTTTGATTTTATATAATTTTAATTAACTTAAAATTGAAACATTATAGTTTTTAGTTTTTATTTATTTTCAGGGTTTTTTGTTTGTTTTTTGTTGTTTTTTTTTTTGCTCTAGAGTGTGTGCACTCACGAGAGAGAGAGAGAGAAAGAGAGAGAAAGAGAAATAAATGATTCCTCAGGAAGGATGGCCTTGATGCAAGTTCTTCTCCATTCTCCTTTCTGGATTTTGGGCATGCATGGGTATGTACCCATGTTTTCAACAGCTCAAACCATGGAGTTGGCCATTTGAGATCTAGCACCTTAACCACCAGGCTATCTGCTGGGCCTAAGAGCTACCTGCTGGCCCTAAAAGATCTTCTGTTAAAGACAACTTTGTTAATTTGATAGGATTACATTTCACATTAACCACTGAACATTTCATCTCTGAATTGAGATACACTGAAAGTATTAAATATACTTTTGAAAGACTTAATATACCAACATGAGGAATGTGAAATAGCTCATTAATTTTTTTAAATACTGATTAAATGTGTAAATGAGAACAATTAGGATATCTTGGGTTTAAAGGAAATGTGTTATTAAATTAGTTTTACCTTTTTTACTTATTTAATGTAGCTATTAGAAAATTTAGAGTTACATGTTTCTTGGATTATACTTTTATTGGGCATCTCCTTCAAGATGATACAGTTGACAGAACACAAAAATAAGTGGAGAGTTGCTGCAATTTGCATTAATGGAATGTAGAAGCTATTGCTCAGATTTAAATTAGAGGAATATCATTAGCATATTTAGGGCTAATAGAAGCAGGCTTCCTTCAATCCAAGGATTAATACATTTTATTACACAGAATGTAAAAATTAGAATTTTATTTAAATGGGAAAATTAGCCTTCTTACTGTGCTAAAATGGGGAAGACTTAAACTTTAGAAGATGTAGAATTGTCAGTTTGAATAGTTATTTTACATTTAATATCAGAGACATTTAATGGCCAATCTTTGCCCTTTGTGAGAGGTCACATGGTCATATCACAGATGGTGATCTTTCTTCTCAAACCAGAACTACTTATCCCCAAAGTTGTCTGAGCTATAGTAAAATAAGTATGCTATCAGAGTCACTCTTAAGGTTTGGGGTAAAGTTAGAAGTATAAATTGCAGTTTAAAACTTAATGTATCAAAGATATATATTATGAACCAGAATAGAAATCCAAAGATAAAAACATAGTTACATAATAATTTATCAGATTTTCTTTTACGTAAAGACTGAATTTGGAAAGAAATGGTAGTAAAAAGGTGTCTGGCTTGGGAATGAGGAGATTGGGTTCTGTTCCCAACTTTTCACTAAGTGGCAGAGGCCTCTTCCTGTATGAATGAACCAAACTGACTCCATTTTGCTAGAACTAATTCTACCTTTTGTCCTTCTCCTTTCCCCTTTGTAGAGTAACCTTTTGCTAGCCCTGCGCAGAAATTTCTGCTTAAGTCAAATCCTATACCAATTTTCATCTGAGGTGGTCATTCACATCCTTTGACAAAGATAATGGTCTATGCCTTAGTATTTGAGAAAGGAAAGACTAACCACCTTTGACCCTGGGGCAGTCATATAGGCAGCCAGATGACTTGCTCCTTCTGACCTCAAGTGTGGGGCAATATGTTTCTCCTGGATAATTTGCTTCCCCCAGGAGTTTGCCCTTGTGTTCAACCTATTGCTCTTCCACTAAAAACTGGAACAAGACAAGGATGCCCACTTTCTCCACTCTTTTTCAATATAGTACTTAGAGTAGTAGATGACACAAGGAAGATCAAAAGCCATGCAAGCCAAGCTATGAAAGAGAGGCATTGTATGTCCCCACTTAATATATACCAAGTGTCTGCACTCTATGACTGAAACTAATTGACTAAAGGATATAGATGTAAATACCAGATATATTGTGCGTGAAAGAGGAGGGTCTGAGGAAGGACATTAGAAGATAAATAGGGAGGCAAAGCATTAATGGCACAAAGAAATGTGATATTATTAGTTGAAGATATTTTGTAGTTTCATCAATTGTACTAGGGAGAAATGTTCATCTGTTGAAATATCTATTTTGTAAGACAAATAATGTGATTGAATGTATAAAAGAAAATGAAATAAAAAATAGTAAAAATAAATAAAAGAAAAGCCTAGGCAGGAAAAAAAATAGTGCCTGTAGTAATAACACTGCACAGTGCTCTATAAAGCATTTCACTAAGGGAGACTTCATGCTACCTGTTCATACCACACAAAAATGGGGACATGAGGAAGCTTCTGGAGGCTTTGACTATGGTGATGGCTTCGTAGTTATATATCTATGTTTGAACCAGGCAAATTGTATACATTAAATATGTGCAGTTATTTTGTATGTAAATTATATCTCAGTAAAGGTATTTTTAAAAGAGAAAAAAATTCTGAAAAAAAGCAAAATACAGAGGAGGAGGAATTATGGTATGATCATTCTCTATGGGAAAGACTTTCTAGCTTTCTCTCTCTGTCTGTCTGTCTGGTAAGTGCATGTGTCTTCTGTCAAGTTAAACAAATAAAAGATAAAAATGCAAAAAAAAAAAAAAAGCCATACAAGTCCAAGGAAATAAGGTGACCAGCTAGTTAAACAGTAGCTTGAAAATATTCTGACCTAGAGAAGTAAAGATAAATGGCACTTATACTTTGCCACGTTGGTAACTTTCCCCATAAGCTTTCTTGCCCAGAGGGTCAGGTGAAGTTGTATACTGGCCAATACCCTAGAAGTACATGAACAGAAGTCCCTGATAACTCTCAGTGGTATCTTCTCTCCCCTTTATCTTTTTCTTTTTCTTTTTTTTTTTTTTGAGAGGATTTTGCTATAGGGCGCATGCGCTTGCCAGACAGAAACAGAGAGACAGAAAGTGAGAAATCACCCCCCAGGGGGATGGCCACGCCGCAATCCCTTCTCCTCCATTCTCCTCTCGGGATCTTGGGCATGCACACACACACGCCCAGCATGAGTTTTAAGTCACTGGGTCCGGGACTCGAACCGCGGTCGACTACGTGGGAGTCCAGCGACATAGCCATTATGCTAACTGCTGGTCCCACTCCCCTTTATCTTTTTGAAAACTGCCACCCAGAAATTTATCTACAGCAGTTGTATCACTGGTTTGCAAATTTCT